ACGTGATCACTCTTCTTCATGTGAGAGTTGCTCCAGCGTCCAGGCCCCTTTGCAGCATCACAATATCCTATTTTGAGTGAGGTTGCATCATAGTTTTGTACAAAAGCATTATGATAGTGTTAGTTTAATTTTCAAATCCTTTCCTAATGATCTTCAACATGGAATCCATGCTTTTCACAGCAGCTGCATACTGGGTCAACATTTTCATTAACCTACAACTCCCAAATCCCCTTTCTAGCCAGTCACCATCATCTCAGACTCCATCAGTGTAGAAAAGTTAGGATTTTTTTCTGCAATGTGAAAGCATGTATAAATTTAATTCCATCTTAAAATTATCTTTTCATCTTTAATGCTGTCTCATGACTGAAATAAAAGTAAGGGCTCCAATATTATGATATATTATGACTGAGAAAAAGCTGATTAAATCCAGTGAGTTCCCTCTTGTGGCCAAAAAGAACTGTCATTCTCTGTTTGAAAAGTAATCACAGAGCTCACTATAGACATGAATTCCATAAAATGTCAAATACACACACTCATGTCCACCATGAAAACTTTCCCCTCCAGCAAATATTTTGGAATGTATCTTTTTGCGAAAAAGACTTGAATATTTTCAGCAGTGCAATGCTATATATAGAAATAACCACTGGGTTAGCAGAAACGGCCATTCTTCATCATCTGATTTCACTCTTCTAGTAAAGAAGGATCCAAAATCTCTCTATCAGATCAGTGACAGCAGTCGTAGGTTGCATCCAACTAAGTTTTACTCACAGTAGACCCATTGAAATTAATGGACCTCAGTTAGACATGTTCATTGATTTCAGTGGGCCTACTCAGAGTAGAACTAGCTTTGGATATAACCACAGTGTTTTAGCAATAGAAAGATTGTACTATAAGGTACCATTCTGTGTACCCCTAAGTGCAGACTGCAATTTGCACAGTGGCTCCCAAGAGGAGGCTTGGTCTTCTTGGCCAGCTTCCAAGAGATCCTGTGAGAGGATGTTGGATGGGAATCAATAGCTTAAAAGCCTTACCTACCCAACAGAGAGGGTCATTTTGCCCCACAAGCTTATCCATGGTACTAGTGCTTTGCTCTATGTTGCTCTATAATCTGTCACAACTTTGAGCAGAAATGGCATTGAGCAGGGGCAAAAAATAAGGGGGGGGGGGATCCAGTTAGGGGGCTTGGGAGAGAGAGGCACAAGTCACACCCCAACTCGAAAGGGGTCCAGACTTGTGTTGGCCAGTGTGATCCCAGCTGTCTGGCTTGCCCCATGTTGGGGTCTAATAGTGGACAAGCCCTAAGAATGGTTTGAGTGTTTCTCAACAGTTTAGCAGAAATAACATTCTAACAGCAAGGGACTGTGCTGTGCTGCCCTTCTGAAAGGCCAACACCACTGGCTTGCTATAATACCTAATAAAGTTGTCACCTGTTTCAACCCTATGTACTCATTCCCCCCATCAACACCATGGGCTCCCAATAACTTTTGAGAATCACAACGGTTTAAAATGTGCGTACACAAATTGTGATATGTAAGGATTAACTCAGGGATAGGGAACTTGTGCCCTTTCAGATAGTTTTGGATTCCAGCTCCAATCAGGCCAATGGTCAAGGAAGATGGGAATAGTAGTCCAGGCAACTAGGGGGTGCAATTTCTGTATCCCCAGATAAATTCTTCTGCTCCAAATTCAGAGATGGCTGTAAGACAGGAATATTGTGTCATAATGACTCAAACAGTGTGATGGATTACATACACATACAATTCCAACAAGCAATGGAAGGTATAAATACTCAAGGGACATCAGCTCCCCTGACCCCTCAAAATATCAATTCACTATTTCTTAGAAACTGAGTTTGTGTGGCTGGGTTTTTTGGGGGAGGGGTGATGCAGTTATTCTAATCTAATTAATTGACTATGATGTAAAGTTCAATATGGGACGCGGGTGGCGCTGTGGGTTAAACCACAGAGCCTAGGACTTGCCGAACAGAAGGTCGGCGGTTCGAATCCCTGCGACGGGGTGAGCTCCCGTTGCTCGGTCCCAGCTCCTGCCAACCTAGCAGTTCGAAAGCACATCAAAGTGCAAGTAGATAAATAGGTACTGCTCCAGAGGGAAGGTAAACGGCGTTTCCGTGCGCTACTCTGGTTCGCCACATGACCCAGAAGCTGTACGCTGGCTCCCTTGGCCAATAAAGCGAGATGAGCGCTGCAACCCCAAAGTCGGTCACAACTGGACCTAACGGTCAGGGGTCCCTTTACCTTTACTTAGAGTTCAATATACTCCAGCCGTAATATACCAAATTAATATTAAAACAAATGGGGAGGGCCCATTGATAAGATTATTGCTCCCCTCCTTGGCTGCATGTGGGAGATGACTTTGCTCTCACCCTTTGGGGAATGCAGTACCAAAGACCACCAGCCTGTAAGGAGGCATGGGAAGAATGGATATTTGAGTGTTCATCCTGCCTTGGAGCCCATTTGTGAGGCAAAGTGTCAACCTGCTCTTTCACTGGATTGCTGTGGAATTCTGGGATTAACCGGCATATGTTTAGCTACTTGCTGCTTAATTAGGGCTTACCCATACTTACCTTTCCCCCCCTCTTTCCAGGCACAGGTCCACACTTCCAAGCTCCTTGTCTGAGCACTCTTCTTTTGGCCCCACAGCTTTCCCTGTGAAAATGTGCTTCTTAAAGCTGAAGTGCACAAAATGTCTGGGAGGCAGCTAGCTTCCTTTAAGGGACTGACACTCAAAAATGGGATGGAGGAAGAAGGGCCAGAGTTCAGGGCTAGAGCATCTGCCTTGCATGAAGAAGGTTTGAAGTTCAGTCCCTGGCATCTCCAGGTAAGGCTGGAAAATAGGGCCCAGGAACCCTGGAAAACTGTTGCCAGTCAGCAAAGGCACTACTGAACGAAGATGGACCAGTAGTCTGACCCAGTATACAGCAGTTTCCTATGTTCCTGCATGGGTAGCCCATTACTGCATGTGAGAAACTGCAGACTAAGGTCTTTAAGTAGTACTAAGATATACCTCCCACATCTAAAATTTGGTTGTGTTTGGATTAATTCTGTAAACAGAGATACATCGCTTCCTCATACCAAGTTGAGGAGAAAACATTAAATACGGGGGGGCGGGGGATGTAGTAAAGTAAAATGAACCATTACAAGGTCCACTACAATTAAAGTATGTAAACAGATTCAATCCATAACGAAAGGTATCATATACAAGAGGCACGTCCAACAGGTATATCGTGATCTACCGGTAAAAACAAAAACAAATTCAATATGTATTTTTTTGTTAGATCCTATTTGATATGATTCTTTCCCTTTTCTTTTTATATATGTTGAGAAGTAAGGTTTTTAAGGCTGACATTATTTGATTTATATAGAAGGTACCAAAGTATGTATTTGTTATCTATGTATTTATTTGTATGTTTGAAATAAAAAATTAAATAAATAAATAAATATATATCACCCAAATGGATTGATTCAGGTAATCCTAGCATTGTGACATGGTCATTGGAAGGAAGCAGGCCCGTGCCTAAAACAAGATGCCTGTTGTTGTTGTTGTTGACATCCATCTGTCTCAGCATGTGACAGTGGCCAAACCCTGGGAAAACAAGACATCTAAACCTGGAGTATTTCCCAAGATTCTCAAATTGTTTCTTGAATAGTAGTTTGTATCAGGCAAGCCTCTCCGTCATCTTTGGGGAAAGCACTCGTTTTGAGAAGCTTTAGATTGAATTTTTCACAAGATGCCTTCCAAAGTTGATGTAGGCTTGCCAGATAAGAACTTCTACTATTCAAGAAAAGATTTGAGAATCTCGGGAATACTCCAGGTTTAGAAGTCTTATTATAAGCAGGGAGCTGCTTTCTTCCAATGAGAACTTTTCCTGGTGTTTAGAGAAGTGTACTTGGACTGAAATTTCTGCTTCTTACTGAAGGTGGCTCTCGACACACGTTGCTACAAAAAAGCAATTTATTTCCCCATCTCCACTTGGCACTTACAAAGCAACAGGCTGTGAATATTTAAATCTTATTAGGATATATATATATATATACCATTTGTAAAATTGCTCTTATTTCCTTATATTTGTTGGGACTTTGGGGGGCTTTCTATGTTCTTATCTCCAGTATTTAAAAAAGAAGAAGAAGAAAAGATTGGGATGGTTTTTTTAAAAAATGTGACAAAGATCAAGCTATGACATTTTATGCTAGGGGGCACTTTCCTTTGCAAAATACTTATATCTAAGAAAGTCTGTACACAGAAGATTTGTGCAGCAGTTTAAGCCTTAATTACAGTATTTTTACAGAATAATAATAATCACAACTACAAGATGTGTCAGAACTTAAAATACACAATGTGATTGAATATGGAGGAAAGGAAGAATGAATCAACTAGGCCCACATCCCCCCAATTAAATGTGTGGGAGCTGTAGAAGAACACATTACCTTGTCATAAAAGCTTACCTTGTCAAATGCAGAATTAATATGTAATAAAATATGATGGAGGAAGGTAATACAGCAAGATAAATATAATACAGGTATCAAACTAGCAGGATTCAGATTCATTAAGCAAAGGCACTCTGCACACCTTTATTTGGCATGAAAAAACTCCATGTTTCAATTAGTACTGTTCTGTGTATTGGGTCTGCTGAATATTAAATCTTCTTCTTTCTTTTTTTTACATTCCAAGGAATTATGTTGCATTCCATACCAATAGGAGGAGAATCCACAATGAATAGATGTAGTGCCAAAAAAAGAAAGAACAAGAAAAAAAAATGCCCCGGAGGATGTAATGTGGTGATGCAGCAAGCTTCTTCATCCTGGCAGGGATATGGGGACACTGCTTGAAGAAGAGGACGAGCCAATTCCTGAATTTTCAGTTTTACAACATTTTGGATATGGTTCTATGGCCAGAACTAGTCCCTTCCAATCATGCTTTGTGAAGGTTCTTCAAAATGCATTAAGCTTATTTTAAAAGGGGCTAGAAAAAGATCTGGAATCTTATGAGGGAGTTCCACATTCAACCAACTTTCGGAAACTCTTCCGGAAAGTATCATCTAAAAAGGCGTAAAGGAACGGGTTGAGGCAACTGTTAGCATAGCTCAGGGTGGTGATGAAATAGGAGATTCCAATTATCAGAGGGGTTTGTGGGATGTCTGTGGTGAGGGCGACCACAGTGCTCAGGTGATAAGGGGTCCAACAGAACAGGCAAACGCCCAGTATGATCAGCACCATGATTGTCACTTTCTTTTTCGCTTTGTCCAAAGCTTTAGCATTGCTGTGGAGCCGCATACGCCTCAGCTTGAAGAGCATGGTGCTGTACAGGATGCAGATGGTGGACACCGGGATGGCAAAACCCAAGATAAGGGTGTAGAGGCGGCTCACTTTCCACCAGAAGCCCTCTGGGCTGGGAAAGACAAAGACACATTGGGATCGTCCCTCTTCAGTGTGTATCTTGGCAAAGATACTGAACGGCAATATGATGATGGTGACAAAAACCCAGACACAGAGACTCACTGTCTTGGCAGCCCTGTAGGTGCGATAGCACATTTTCTTGGATTTGATGGTGGCAACCACCACCAGGTATCGGTCGATGCTCATGACGGTTAGAAAATAAATGCTTGAGAAAGTGTTGTACTGGTCGATGGAGATGATGAGCTTGCACATGAATTCGCCAAAGGGCCACTGAAGCAGCAGGTAGTCTGCTATGTTGATAGGAAGTACCAACGTGAAGAGCTCATCAGCAATGGCCAGGTTCAGAATGAAAATGTTGGTGACGGTCTTCATTTTGGGAGCTTTTAGGATGACATAAATGACTGCAGAGTTTCCAGTAAGCCCGACAGCACAGATCACAGAGTAGATGATGGGTACGGCAATGTAGAACTTAGGAATCAGCTGTGGAGCTGTCATGTTGTGCCCATGTTGTCCTGACCCATAGCAACCAAAATCCACATCAGTACAGGAAGCATTGAAGTTGGGCTGGGAGGAAAAATTATCCATTGACTGCAGTGACAAATATCAGTCTCCTCTGTTAAGTATTGTTTAGTTTAGATGAGATTACTAGATGCAGTCCTTTTACAAAACCTTATGAGTGAGATCAGTCTATTTGAAATACATTGCATCAGAGATTTCCTTCAGGTTCTTATTTCTTGAAGCTGCTTGATTCAAGCTAATTTTCAGGTAAATTGCCTCTCCTAGCACTTTCTTTTCTATTTACTGAAACCAGTAAAGCAGTCTTTCAGTTAAATAGTTTTTGCATCCTGCTTCCTTTTTATCTTTCCACTTTGGAGCACTCTGACTGTACAGATCTCCTAAGGAAAATAAAATTTTAAAACAAATAAATTAAGTTTCAACATGCCCCTGGCTATTTTACATGCAGCTCAACATTGTATGGAAATGACATTTAATGTCTCTATATAATTAAGTACAAAATTACCTCTCTTGTTATAGTTTTCATTAATTCTCTTTCCGCGCATTGCCTAGGAGGAATATGCTACGAAAATTCTTGTTCATGGGAAATAATAAACACATATAAAAACCATGCCTCTGTGACTGAAGAATCCTAAATGAGACTCTTCCCCATCTACACTAACAGATTATCTCTCCGTCTTCCTTTTTCACCCACAGACATTCTTCACACACTATTTTATTACACTCATTATAGCCTGAATTATTAGTTAATGCTTAGGATCTTCTGTTTCCCCTTACCTTTCTAACCAAGACTGTGTCCTGCTTTTGCGCATCCTTTTGCAGTCACTGTGCTCTGGAGGCTCAACAGCAAGCTGAGAAACAGGAGTGAAGTGCTGTGATGCTGAAATGCTGGACAGCTCCTCAGCAGCTGCATCTCTGAACAGTCCCTGCAGGTCTGGATAGCTCCTTCTGAACCCCACTCCCTTGGCTAGGAAATGGAGGGCAGGTACTACCTCAGCACGGAAGCCCTACCGTTTCAGCTCACAGGTCAATCAACACAGCCACAAATTTATATTCTCCTCCTTATGAGAGATCTGCTTCCTCTGAAGTTACAGACCCCTTCACGTGACAATAGCTTGCAGAGGTTCCATCTCTTCTCCTGTTTGTTCATTCTATATCTAATTGCAAAGTGAGATCAGTTTGCTTTACTAATGCAATTGTTCATCTTTAGATATACAGTTATATAAAACTTCCTCTTGTTATTAACTTACTATCAATCAGTTTCATTAGATTACTTAGAGTTTATTTTGTTTGAGAGAGGATAATTTGTACCTAGTTTCTACATATCATTCATAAATTTTATAAATCTCTGTCATGCCCCCTCCTCTCAATTATCTGTATTTTGAAATTTAAAAAAACCAACTTATTTGACCACTCCTTATAGGGAAGATGTTTTAATCCAGCAGCAATTTGCTTTGGCATTTCCTATACCTCTCTAGCCTGTACCATGGCAAAAACTTCATTTGAAACTCTATCGTGTTATGATAGAGTTCAGTTATGTGTTACTTGTCCTAAAGCACTTTTTGCCAGCTGCCGGAGTGCCATTACTGTGCAAAAAGGGCAGATAAGCCAATTCTGCCCTACTTAACTGAAAATCACATCAACACCAAGGACACTGCACCTCTTCAGTCTCTACAGGTGATGAAGAGGTGGTGGGATGCTGCTTGAGATCTGTTGGCATCCCAGCCCAGGCTTCATCCTCATCTAAAAGGACTTTCTGCATCCCAGTTTTCCTATATAAGGGAAGAAACACAAGGGGGATAGTCAGTTCTGTTAGCTGCTGCATCAACAATACTAAAGCAACTTGATATTGTTGGAAGGAGGGCTGAAGCTCAGTGGTAGTTCATCCACTTTGTCTTCAGAGATGGTTCCAGGTTCAATCCCCAGTATCTCCAGAGGTGGGAATGTTACCCGTCTGAAATCCTGGAGAGCTCCTGCCAGTCAGTCAGCATGGACAGGACTGAGATGGATGCTGATTTGATTCAGTATAAAGTAGATTCCTAACCTAACAATGCAATTTACAATATTTAAAATAAAATATGCTGAGCTAGATGGTGGTTTGTGGGTTCCCCTGTTGGAGCCATACTATTTAAAACCATGTACCAAATTATATGTGGGTGATTATAAGAGTACCCCAGGAACCAATACTTTTCCATGGCCAACCCTCCTTGCCCTCCCAATAGGCAGAGTGAGACATTTGCCTTAGGCAGCTAATCTTGGGTGTCATGAAAGGCACCAAACTGTACATTATTTAATGGATTATGATTTGGGGAGGGCTGGGAGAGGAGAGGGGAGAAAGCTTCATTGTGCAACCATAAACCTCTGAGCTAGTACAAGAAGTGATTTAAGTACTGCCATTCATGTCAGCTGAAATCAATCAGAATTTCACCACATACTTCAGCATAGTCAAGAATACTGATGAAGGAGCCTTCAACTGCCTACATGAAGAAACCCATTAAACAACAAATTACCGATGTGCGTTGCCGTTATACTTATCTCCTATTTTTCCTTTGGGAAATTCAGAGTAGCTTATCTGACTCTCAGCAGTCCCTTACTGAGCGGCTAACAATGAAATAGGAGTGGATATTCAGAAAGACATGAAGGTCCTGCTCACTCAGACAAACTAAGTGTAGCATCCTCTTCTTACAGTGGCCAACCACAGGCTCATGGGAAGCCCACATTCAGAACATGAGCACAACAGCACTCTCCTACTTGTGTTCCCCAGCAACTGGTAGTCAAAGGCATACTAAGGGCCACAGGGAGGTTAGGCTGGCCTCAACCAGAGCCAGGGCTTTTTTGGCCATGGCCCCGATCTGGTGGAACTCTCTGTCACAAGAGACTAGGGCCCTGCAGGACTTGACATCTTTCCGCAGGGCCTACAAGACAGAGCTGTTCCACCAGGCCTTTGACCAAGGCACAGTCTGACCCCCTCCTTCCGTAATCCTCATAGAACTCTAGCCCAATGGTTGCCAATAATTTGATTTTGAATTGATTTTAGAATGAATTGATTTTAGAATGCATTTCAATTAATTGATTGTGATTTTATGTAAACTGTGTTACTTTTATTGTTGTTAGCTACTCTGAGCCCGGCTTCAGCAGGATATAAATAAAATTTTATTATTATTATACTGCTCCAATCCTTTTTTTTTTATGATATTTATTAAAGTTTCAAAAAATACAAAAAATACAGAATACAAAAAAAGTAAAGTTTTTAAAATATAACAAAAAAGTAAAGAATAAAAAAGAAACATACAAAATAAAACAGTTAAAAAGACATTGATTTTCCAAACCTATTTTCCCTACACTTATTTCCCCGGACCTCCTCATACCTCCCTTTTTTGTATTCCAGTTCAGTTTGTTAGTTCAGCAAATCCTTACTATTAAACTTTTACCCAATTGTAAACGGTGCTGCTGCACCGTGAGTGTTGGGGAAGGCCGCTCCCTCTTCAGGCTGATTCCATCAGGCCTAGGGGGCGGGGCCCAGACTCACCTTCGCCACAGCTTTAAGAAGCCTCACTGAGGCATTGGGACATCGCTGCTGCTGCACCGTGAGTGTTGGGGAAGGCCGCTCCCTCTTCAGGCTGATTCCACCAGGCCTAGGGGCGGGGCCCAGACTCACCTTCGCCACAGCTTTAAGAAGCCTCACTGAGGCATTGGGACATCGCTGCTGCTGCACCGTGAGTGTTGGGGAAGGCCGCTCCCTCTTCAGGCTGATTCCACCTGGCCTAGGGGCGGGGCCCAGACTCACCTCCGCTACAGTTTTAAGGACACTGGTGCTGCCGCAGCAATTGTTAAAAATGTTTTTATATATTTTAAAGTATTTTAAAGGTGTTTTTACTTCTTACGTTATTGTACCACCGTGAACAGTGGTTTTTATCTATGTATTTTTATTTTGTTCTGTTTTATTGTGGTTTGGGGTGGGGATTGGTTTTGCTTAGGTAGAATTGTTTTCAGTTTGGTTTGGTTTTCTATTTTGTAAATGGAGGCTTGTATGAGGCTTGGGATTGCTACCGTGGAGGGGCGAGGGAGGTATGGTGGTGGGGGCAGATGTTATAGGCGAAGGGGATCGAGATACGGATATGCTCGTACCCCTTCCAATCTGCGCCCCATCCCGAGGGACGAGGGTAGGGTGAGCAAGGATTACTCACCTCCGTCACTGGTGTTGTGCAATGCCAGGTCTATAGGCAACAAAACCGCCACTCTGCGAGATTTCTTTACCTCGCAGGGGTTGACCTGGCTTGTGTGACGGAGACCTGGGTACGCGAAGGGGCAACAGTTACCTTACGAGAGATGGCGCCCCGGGTTTCTCCGTCCTCCACCAGTCACGGACTGTGGGCCGGTGGGGGGGAGGGGTGGCATTATTAATCCGGGAAGATTGTCCTTTCAGGGCTCTACCATCGCCATCGATCCCCGGCATTGAATGTGTTGGCCTAGTGTGGGGCTCTGAGGTGAGCTTGGCTGTCTGGCTGGTGTACCGGCCACCTAGCGCACCAGCAGCCACCCTGTCAGGCCTACTGGAGGCGGTGGCCGGCTGGGCCTTGGAGTTCCCTAACCTATTGGTATTGGGGGACTTCAACATCCATGCTGATGCCACTCCCTCCTCACAGGCTCTGGACCTGGTGTCTTCCATGGCAACACTAGGGCTCTCCCAGTTTGTTTCAGGCCCCACACATCAAGCAGGCCACACGCTGGATTTGATCTTTGGCGTAGGTATAGATGTGATCATGTCTCCTTCAATTAAGGTGCCATGGTCTGATCACTACGCTCTGAAAGCCAGGATTGACTTTCCACCCCCACCCTGCTTAGGTGGCGAGCCGATTTGGGCTCGCCCGCAGAGGCTGATGGACCCTGATAGATTCCGTCAAGCCTTGCGGGACCTTGCTCCCCTGGCGACTCATTGACTGAGCTTGTTGAGGGCTGGAATACCCAGCTCCTGGCAGCCATAGATGAGATCGCACCTAAGCGCCCTCTGCGACTCCGCAGAAACCGGGCTCCCTGGTTTACCGAGGAGCTTCGGAAAATGAAGCGGG